AAAGGGGTTCAAAGTGGACATAATGCCAAATAAGGGCATGAAGTGCCCAATCAGTTTCAAATAGGGGCCCAAAGTGCCCAATTAATCTCAAGTAAGGGCCTGAGTTCGCCGGTCGGTCAAATGCTCATCGGTTGGCAAGCACGTCACTATTTCGGCGATCGGAACAAGGGCAATTTCTTCTTTTACTTTTTAATTTTTTTTAGTTTATTTTTTCCTTTTTTTGTTTTTTTCTTTCCTTTTCCTTTTCTTCTTCTTTTTTTTTTTTTCCTCTTTTCCCTTCGTTGGCCATAGCTGGGCCGGCAGAGGTTGCCGACCTCGGGCGAAGGCTGCCCTCGCCGAAGTCGGGCGAAGGCTGCCCTCGCCGACGTCGGGCGAGGGTAACCCAGGGTCAGGCGAGGGCGGCCCTCGCCCGATGTTGGCGAGGGTAGCCTCCGCTCGAGGCTAGCAACCTCTGCTGGCCCCGGCTGTGGCCGGCGCAGGGAAAAGAGGAATAAAAAAAGAAGAAGAAAAGGAAAAGGAAAAGAAAAAAACAGAAAAAGGAAAAAAGAAACAAAAGAAAATTAAAAAGTAAAAGACGAAATTGCTTTTGTTCCGATCGCCGAAACAGTGACGTGCTTGCCGGCCGATGAGCATTTGATCGGCGGCGAACTCAGCCCTTATTTGAAACTAATTGGACACTTCGCTTCTATTCGAGACATCAATCGCATGCTTGCGCCTTATTCGACACCTTATCCATTTTGAACCCCTTTTTGAGAAAATAATTCAACTTTGGATATTGATTTGAAATTTTCCCTTTCGTCTCACATATTCTCTCTTTTTCAAAATTTTCCTTTGAAAGAAAAGATCATTTTATAAAAGTTTTATTGCTTTATGTGCTATGAGATGTACTTTTAGTCTATACAATTATTGAACCTTGTCTTTTTGCATGGTTTGTCTTCTTATCCGGCGGTTTGGTTATCTAAACATTAGGTGGGAGAAAATCAAAATGATCTTATCTAGTATCTGGAAATACACTTATATAGCAATGAGCCTATATAAAATCACACATGATTTAGCTGGATGCTATTAGCGGGATATAATATCCCAACCTGGATAAAAAAAAATAAAAGAACAAAAAATAGGGCAAAAGCACTAAGGATTTAACAAGCACTATTGCGCACGGTGGTTGCACCTCTCATGTGACCCCCATTGTAGTTGTCGCCGGAGATTTCTCTCTCCCTCACCTGTTTTCATCTCTATCGTCGCAGGTAGTCATGGTGGTCGTCCACCGCCACAACAGATGAGACCACCATTGCAGTGGGTCACTTGTGGTCCTCCTTGACAAGCGATTCACTGTTATGATGGTCACCGTGCAGATGCGACTCCACCGAGGTGGTCGCTGGCCTTACCACCATAGAGGTGGCTCACGGTGGTCAGACACAGCAATTCTATGATCCTCTCCCATGTTTTTTTTCCTTTTGAATTTTCCAAGAAATTTTTTGAATTTTTTTCCATGTCTCGAAACCTATATATCCATCTCCGTATTACAGTAGACTTGTATTCGCATCTCATTAATGTTATGCACTAATAAACTCATAACTCATAATTTATCTTTACATTAACTAATTCATTTTTTCATTAGCCAATAATTTTGCTTATTATGTCAAAGTATACAGATAACATCTCAGAGACAAATTCATTTAAAAAAAAAAACAGTTCACACGGTCCAATATGTGGAAGTTGGAAAGTCTTCTTCCTAGTGTTGAGGATATAAATCAGATGGCAGTGATAGTGAAGTTTCTTCATTCTTGTCAATTGCTTTCAAACTGGAAACTTCTCCTGAAGTACTCTTCATTTACAGTATGAAAATTACTGTATGATTCTTTTCCACGACCATTGATCAATGTTCGAGCATTGAGGTGCATAGCAAGTCGAAGGCCCTTGATGAAAACTTCGAGTTCAAACAGTGAAATGGCTACAAAGATGACGGTATTTTGCTTAAACATTTCTTCCTCGCGGTTTTCTTTTCATATCGCTCATGATATATTAGAAAATCACATAAGAAGATTGTGACTTTATATACACGTGCATATGGAACGACTTAAGTTGATTACTCTCTTTGCTGTTTCTTTTGTTTTTACTGTTCTTATTAGGCAGGGATGATTACTACGGATTGCAGAACTATACCGCCTGCGCATTATCTGTTCCAATTCATTTTCTTCGTTTGTAAAGATCAATATGGAAAAGTACAGAACGAGTGAGTTCGAAGCGGGAGGGCAAAAGTGGTAAAAGCATAGAACTTTGTATCAAGTTGTTTTCCTATTCAGTACCGACATTTTCGGAAACAAGGTAATATTGATAACATCGCGTATTAGTGATTCACAAATTCACTAGCTACCAGGTAGTTTAGCTTTTATTCTTCTCAACATTGGGCTCCAGATTGGGGGATCGGTCCCGTGTATGTTACACATTAAGCCGCAACCATGAGTTTAGAGGGTGTCTTATCTTGCCAAGCTTTTACCGATTCTTTTCTCTATGTGAAACTCCGCTAGAAATAGCAATGTTGCTTGAATGTCAATAATACTAAATCGCATATGATACAAAGGTTTCTCCTTTTTGATTGATGTTCGTATCTTCAAAGGCTTCTCCTTATGGTTTGCGAGTTTTCTTGGATCGTGCAGGAGCATGGTTCTCTATCCTAATGGAGATATCAGCAGAAATGGAGGAGATCACGTTTCGATATATTTGTCAGCTTTCGAGACTAGTTCTCTAGAAGTCGGCTCAGAGATAGATGTGAGTTTTAGGTTCTTTCGTATATGATCAGACGTGAGATGTATACCTGACAAAAGAAGGTGACATTTCGCTAAAGAAATAGAAAGAAGAACGCGATTTGTACCTTTCATTGAGCAAGATGTCGATTGTTAACGTTAGAGGGAGACCTAGGAGGTTTCGCGTGAACAAGAAAGTACGTGGTCTTCCAAGATTTATGCTGCTAGAGATCTTCACCGATCCATCAGACGGATATCTTGTTGGTGACTCCAGCGCATTTGGAGCGGAGGTATTGTTATCAAGAGTTCGGGTGTTGGCAAATGGTCGATACTTGATGGTGAGAGTGTTCCATATACACACAAATGGAAGGTATCCGGTTTCTCAATTATGGTTGAAGCTTGCCGCTCTGAAGTATTCGTTGTCAGCGATGTGAAATGGTAGGCTCCAATTTCTTCGCTGTCTTAAGTTTGGTCCTTATTGTTAAAGGTCTGTTAGCTTTCTTTCTGGTATCCTCCATCTATTATATAGAAAATACTGGAGCTATGTCCAAGGGGTTGGTCCGCGAGAAACAGAAACAAAAACCTTTCGTTGTTTCTTCGTTTAGCAGATCTGGATGAACAAGATCCTAAGAGGAAAATTAATGCAAGCTACACCTTCCAATTAAAAGGCCAAGATGATGCTGTGCATCAGCAGACAGAAGGTAACCGCTGATCCGATCAGTTGAATCCTTTCCTTCTTTAGCAGATTTTTACCACAGGAAAGTGGAGAAAGGTAACTGGAAAATGGAACTCAAGCACGTGACATGCTTCTTTGCTCATTGGTTCGATCTCCTGGGTTGGAATTAAAAGCAAAATTTTCACTTTTCACGTTGGTTCAGCAAATCAAACTTTTATGAGGGCGAATCCTCCTCCTTGCCACTAAAAACAGTTCGAGACTGCCTAGTTGATGTTGCTGCATCATCGAGGCCGAAGTCACAGTGCATGGGTGAACTTCCTTGGTAATGTCGTTAGATCATCAGTTCATGACCCTCTCATATTGCCAATGTTCTATTCCATCTTTCTTTTTGATAGAACCTCCCTTTTTCAGATAACTTAAAGCTATCTATTTGTGGAGTTACTCGTTTTCTGATTCAATGGGTGTATGTCTAATTGTTGCACTTCATGTCCGGTTCTGATCAGCTGATTTGTAGCACGAATTACCTCAATATGCATTTGCATTTGTACAGAATTTGACTGCATATATGGCATGATGCAGACGATTTGTAGATGCTTTATACACAGTAACAGCACAACCGCTCTTTGCTCCAATGCCATCAATATGGACAGTGCTAGTAGACCAGTAGTCTTATAAAAAGCTTACCATGTTAATTCGACCGCATGAACAAACCCAGAGTGTTTTGCAAGAAGTTGCCGTGATGCGTACTGAGCATGTCGAACTTCACATTCGAATGTCATACCTGCATAAGCTGTGCGAGTCCTAATTCGATTAGACTACAAACAAGGTCACCTCATCATATACGTAGAAACAAGTTAAAAATGTCCTTGTAAACGAGGGAGGTCCTTGTCTTTGAACTTAACCACACTGTATGATGCAATCTGCCTTCTGATAATCACTGGCTATTTATGGATGGTTTACAGAAAAGGAACTGTAGCTTCCTACAAATTTGGATTGGTTTTAGACCCAAAAACATGGAGAAACTCTTATATGGACACAAATCCCCTAGATCCGATCTATCATAAGCGTCGATCTTGTGGATTCTACATGGGCCCTGCAAATTTGGATTCAACGAAAATGCTTTCTTTTTCTCTTTTCCGACACATACTAAGCTTCTCTGCCAAAAAAAAAAAAAAGAAAATTGATACAAATGATCCCTAAACTTTGGCTCAATGCATAATATGGTCCATGAACTTTTAATTTGTTTAATATGGTCCATGAACTTTAGCTCAATATGCAATGTGGTCGTTGGACTTTTGATATATGCTCAATTTAGTTCTTGGACTATATGAAAATGTTTAGTGTTGTTTCTAATATTGAATTAATAGATGGACTATATTGAATATATACCAAAAGTTTATGGATAACTTTTGAACAAATTAAAAGTTCATGAGACTATATTGCACATTGCATTAAAGTCCAAAAATCACATTGAAAAAATTAAAAGTTCAGGGGCATATGGCAAGTTATACCAAAATTCAGGGCCATCTGTGTCATCATTTCCAAAAAAAATAAAGAAAAGAAAACATATCCGAAGCTTACTAGAGTTTTGCATAGCCCACTTCCGAACATACTGTAGTTGTCTTGTCATTCAGCGTGTCCGCAAGGAGCTCCAAGTTCCTGTGATTCTTGGATCCATTCATGGTTGAATTCCTCCGCCACCTTCGACGCCGACAACGATGAAATCCCCACTTCGTCGGCTTCCGACCCTCCTCTGCTCCGCCCCTGAGAAGCCCCTGCCGACGAACCCCGGCCCCCGTCGGGACCCGATTCCGGTGCCCCACCGGACGATCCCCGAGCCCACCGGGCGGGACCTCGACTTCGTCAACGTCGCCCTCAGCCACCTCGTGCACGCCGACTGGGACGAGCTCGACCGGCTGCGCGCCGGGTTGACCCCTTTCCGGACGACGCACGTCTTGCTCAAGATCCGGAAGGACCACGTCCTGTCGCTCGAGTTCTTCAACTGGGTGAAGCTCCGGTGCCCGAGCGCCCACACCCTCGAGACCCACTCCATCGCGCTTCACGTTCTCGCGAAAAACGGGAAATTCAAGTCCGCGGAGTCGATGGTTCGGGCTCTCGTCGCGGCGGCCGGCCCGGTCGATCTTGCGCGCCAGCTGTTTGATGCGGTGCTCTGCTCTTATCGGGCGTGCGATTCCTCGCCCCGGGTTTTCGACTCCCTGTTCAAGACGTTCGCGCATCTGAAGAAGTTCCGGAATGCCACTGAGACTTTTCGTATGATGAAGGAGTACGGGTTCTTGCCCACGGTGGAGTCCTGCAATGCTTACCTGAGTGCATTGCTTAGCATGAACAGGGTCGACGTAGTCTTCTCGTTCTATCGGGAGATGCGGCGCTGCAGGATCTCTCCGAATGTTTTCACCCTTAACATGGTCATGTCTGCTTTCTGCAAGGCGGGAGAGCTTGAGAAGGCGGTCGATTTGTTTCGCGAGATCGAGAGTAAGGGTTGTTGTCCGACGGTGGCGTCTTACAACACGTTGATCGCTGGGCATTGCAGTAAGGGTCTTCTCAGCTCAGCCATGGAGCTTAAAGAGATGATGGAGAAGAATGGTTTTCACCCTAATGTGATTACATTCAATGCCCTTATCAGTGGCTTTTGCAAGGAAGGGAAGTTGCACGAAGCGAACAAGATATTCAGCCAAATGAAAGCTTCGAATGTGGCTCCCAATACCGTGACTTTCAATACTCTGATACACGGATATAGCGAAGTCGGTGACAGCGAAATGGGAGGGAGGCTTTTTGAAGAAATGTCGAAGTACGAAGTGAGGGCCGATATATTGACATATAATGCATTGATATTGGGACTCTGCAAGAATGGTAAGACAAAGAAGGCTGCTTATCTGGTTAAAGATCTCGATAGCAAGGGCTTAGTTCCGAACAATTCGACCTTTTCCGCTCTCATTAGAGGGCAGTGTGTCAGGAATAACCCCGACGGCGCATTTCAGCTGTATAAAAGTATGATCAGGAGCGGGCGTCATCCCAATAGTGAAACTCTTACTATGTTGATGTGTGCTTTTGCGAAATGCGATGATCTCGACGGAGCAGTCCAGGTCCTCATGGAAATGGTCGATAGGTCGATGCTTCCCGATTCAGTTATGTTGTCCGAGGTGTGCCATGAACTTCGCCAGTGTGGGAAAGATCAGTTGGCGATAAAACTGTGCAGTGAGTTACAAGCTAGGACTCTAATTCCAGTAGGTTTTGATAGAGGGCTTATCTTCGGAACTTGAGTGATTGAAACTCGATAGAAGCAGTTGACTTGGGACGATTCTTTTGATTGGTTCTTCATATGTAAATTTTTTCGATTCGTTTTTCTTGTTGACAGCAGACAGATCAACATTACAGTTCAAAAACAAATGATTAGTGTCTTTCTCCGTGGCCAGAGGAAAATTAAGCCTTTTCGCTTTGTAAACTTAAAGGCATGATACTCTGTTTCTGTTGCATTCAATGCTTCCACTGAGAGCTCATCCCTTCCCTCGTCTCGTATTGAAATTTTATTAGATATTCCGACCCAGCTCATCGGGTTTCATCGACAGTCGCAAGCTAAGCAATCCGAATGGAGAATAACATAACCCAGTCTAAGAAGAAATTGTGCATTCTTGATCTGGCATTTAGTTTGCTTGGCAACCTTAAAATTTAAACCAAAGAAAGAGGGTGCACCAAGAAGCATCAACTGTGGAACCGGATGGCCAAAAAATAACTTAGACGGACAACCAATGGGAGAAAAAAGTACCACCCCAACAGGACCTTTGAATCCTATTACTTGTACAATACCTCATTCTCCCCAAAATATTTATCGAATCATAACCCTTTTTTCAATCTGAGTAGCTAGTGAGGACAACAAATTGAAGACATTTCCCAGCCACATATGACACTGACTTGTGCTACAGGTAACTGTGGATTAAATTAGTAAAAGAAGGAATGTGCAGCATAGCGCGGATATCTCGGAATCTAACCGATCGATTAGCCATTGCCCAAATTACCAGAAAGAACTTTAAGACTTGTACAAGAGCATCATTCTTCTTCAATGGCTTCAGCGGCGGATATCTCAGAATCTAACCGATCGATTAGTTGTTCGCTTACATGCTTAGCCACAGATATCATATCCAGTATAACACTTGGATCCAGACCCGCACCTCCCCGCTTGCTAAGACCACATATTAACCCTTTCCAGTTGATAGAAACAGAAACGGCAGAGCTCATCTGCGATTCTTCCTCCGAAGTCGCATCTACAATGTAATGCCTGCCCACCTGGACAAGGAAGAAGATGAGAATTCGATAGCGACGGTAAACAACTCTGGAAGTGGAGAAATACTGAAGCTTTTTTTGGTAAGGAAATTTTTTTTTTGGTAAGGGAAATACTGAAGCTTTTATACCTTCGTTAATGTAACAATGACAGGAACCCCAGATGTGTCGAATTGTAAAAATTCTTCGTCACTGATGTCAAGTTCAGGTTGATCTTCACCGGATGCTTCGGCAGTGACGTGCACTCTGGGGATGCCTGTGTTGCTCAGGGCAGCCTCCAATCCAGAAGGAGCAATGGAAGGGATGTCAGATCAGGACAAAATTAATTACAATGTTGAAGGAACAATACATATCGAGCCCAACCCGTCTAAGAGTAAGTTTGACAGAACAGAATGCTCGAGAAAGGTATACCTTGATGGAAGCACCAAGAGCATCTAGGAGATTGCCATCTGAACTGACGACAAGACCATCGATATACAGATCCCAACAGACTTTTCCTTCCACAACTATCAGAGATGACAAATCAATTCCAGCACCTGTGAAATATAAACAGTCACAGCTTGTGATTTAAAGACAGGCACTAATACACATTTGATTGCATGTGGACAAAAGAAAAAAAGAACATGTTTTCAGTAAGAAAATTCAGAGAAAGAATGTATAGAGCATTTCAAACACTGTACAAAATACTTCAAACCTGCTCCACTTTTCCCACCCAAAAGACATCGCTGAAGAGCAACTGAGAGTTCCGTTGACAACTCCTCACCCCCTCTACCCTGCATAAAATTGCACTGCTGCGTTAAATTGATGTAACTATCAGAAGTTAAGAACAATATGGTGAAGGAGAGTAACAGTGAAATGTCCAATTTTCAACCGAGTGTCCACAGAGGAAAATTTAGGTTTCTGTTGAGCAACTCCATAATAACCAAGTCAAAGTTCATTTTGAAGGCAATCGGCCAGCTATCAGTTAATTTAAAACTGATATGGATACTTATTCTCTGATTGTGTACCGGAAGCATATTGTAGCAAACATAATGCGGCTCATAAGAACAAAGTTTCAAAAAGTCAGTATTTTTTTTGGTTTCTGTTGATCTTGCTCAAGGGGAGAAAATTGAAAGCTAATTTAGAGACCAGATACCGTCTAGAAGCATCAAGCAACTCCATACGAACCAAGTCAACGTTCAGTTTGAAGGCAGCAATCAGCCACGTATCAGTTAATTTAAAACTAATATACATATCTATTCTCTAATTGGGTACTGGAATTATACTCTACCAGACATGGTGCAGCTTATACGAATAAAGTTTCAAAATGTCAGTATTTGGCTTCAAACCCACCCTTTCAATTTTAAACACTATCAGTCCACTTATTCTGCTAACTTCATAGTCAGGGACATTCAAAAGAAACATGAAGGGGAGAAAAATTAGAACTAGCAGATCTAAGCAAACTAAAATTACCAGCATAGATAAGTCGGGAAGCAGCAGAATTAAAAGTATAGGACCTCAAACATTGGAGCGGCAGTTGGGCTGCAATCAACATATATGGAAACCTTCCCTTTGTTGGGTTGTAGCGGACTTGGTCTTCCAATTTCGGCCTGCGTTTGAAAACATCAGGAGGGAATAATGAGTACCACACTACAAAACACAAACACCAGGATCTGGGCCCAGATTAGGCAGAAACAGAAAGAAAACTCCTCAACACCAAACAGTTAAGTCCTATAAAAAGGAAAAAAGAAAGAATCATGCTTTAAACTACCTTCACACTGGCAATGACATCAGTTCCGCCCATTCTAACTCTGGCCGAGCCATTGGCCTGTTATATGTGCAAAACGATAATTGCATTGGATAAATCTCACCACATAAGACATCAAAAGTGCCATTTCTATGTACTGCAAATCAGCAACTATAAAAAACCTGAGGAATGACGCCAGTTTCGACATATATGGGTCGGTAAGTCAATCGTTTACGACCATCAGAGCGGAGGTCTTGAGCGATGCCCCCTTGTATGAATTGCTTTTCTCCAAGAGATAAACCGGTCATCTTGCATATGCAAAAAAGAACTATGATTATTGTCTTAATACTGGAGCACAAGGAGTAAGACATGTGATGCAAATTCTCTAACCATAACCACTTATTCTTAGATAAAGAATGCAGACAAATCTGCGCAGCATGCAACAGCTCTCACCATCAGGCGCATCAGCAGTTTTACCGTCACCAAGCCGGACATAATCATCTTATCCATTCAAACAAGCCCATCAGTTTCCATGAAGATGACGAAATTGCCGCAACCAACTCAAAAATCAAGAAAAGAGCTGAATACGAGCACATGATAAACCAACATCGAAGCCAACGGCTCGATCCCACCTCGAAAGCTATTCACCACGTACACCCTCTCGCAGTCAGACAGAGAAGCAATATCCCACAAGATCATGCCAACGTGCTTTTCTGAGCAATGACAAGTTCCACATAGGTTCTATGCGCTCTTACAACTACCGAAATTTGTGAAAAAATTCGAACTTTTGCACTACCAACCTAACTAAAATGATCACTGAAATTGAGGGCATTATTAACAAATACAATAGCTATCACACATTCACACCTTGGTCTCGACGGCGAATCGGCGAGCTAGGCGTGGGCACTGCAAAGGCTGGCGGCGGCTCGGGGTCGGCGAGCTGTAAAGAAGAAACGAGAGAGGCGGAGCTGGGTTGCGCAGGCGCGAGCGGAAGCCGGACCGAAAGAGGTCCGACGGCGACGGCGGCGGCGGCGAGGGTTCCGGCGGCGAGAGAGTGCGACGGCGCTGTGCGAGCGAGAGGAGAGTAAGAGAAACTGAGAAACCAGAGGGGGGAGGCTGGGGACGTTAGCATAAGACTATCTTATTTAAATTAGTCCCTGGATTTTTGTAAATATCAATTAGGTCCCTCCCCTTTTTTTTGTTTGTGCAATTGGATCCTCAAATGATATATACTTCTTTTCAAGTTGGTCCTTCAATTGAAATTATACACGGAAATGCAGAGGTGATTGTTGAATGCTGATGTATCACATTATGTTGCATCTTACGAGGCATTTAGCTAATTACTTTACCAAAAAATATTGGGTTAATATCACGAAAAACTCTAAACTGATATAATTATGATAAATTTATCTCAAATTAATTTTTTTGTCACCAAAAACCCCTAATGATACATTTATGACATATTTACCATTTGTTAGCTGACACTGTCAATTCCACGTAAAAATCCATATCACTTTGGGCTAAATTTATCATAGGTTTATTAGTTTGGGATTTTAAGTGATCCATTTTTTTTGTCTGTCCTATCTCTAACTCTTCTTACTCTATGACTTTTGCTCTACCACTTGCAGGGCGCGGGAGTTGAACCCCATACTTGTAATACTAGCGTCCCCACCTCCCAATCCGTTTATCAGAATTGTCGCATGCCTATTGGCTAGTGATCTAAAATTAGTTTGAGATAAATTTGTTATAGGTGTATCGGTTTAAGTAGACTTGTCAAATGGGCGGATTGGGTTTAGGTCGCGATATAAATGGTTCGACTCAAATTGACCCATTTAACCTGTTTATGACCCATTTATTGCAATGTAAATTTCTCAATTCATACTCGACTCGATCTATATTGCTAAAACACTTGCATACTTAACCAAATCTACAAAAGCTTATTTCTTATGATTTTTTTTTAAAAAATTGCATTGCTAAAATACGCTCATGCAATACAAATCTAGTTGACAATTTTTATAATTTTTTTTAAAAAAATTGAGGCTTTGTTTGTTTCGCAGAAAATGTGACAATATTTTATGGTGTTTGGCTAAAATTTGAAAATGAACTGGAAAATATTTTTCACCGTTTGGTATGGAAAATATGATTTGGTTTTTTTTTTCGTGCACTCTTTTTAATAATTTTTATTTTTCTTTCTTTTCTTTTTTTAAAAAATCAATTTTTTAATATTTGTTTCTTTCTTTTTTATTTTTCCTTCTTCTTCGGCCAGTTGTCGGCTACCGACCGAGGAAGAAGAAAAAGAAAAATAAAGAAGAGAAAAAAGAAAAGAAAAAAAGAAATTATAAAATTATAAAAAAAAATTCAGAAATTTTAAGAAAATAAAAATAAGAAAGTAAAAATAAATTAAAAATGACTTCTTATTTAGGCTTGTTTCTAAATTTAAAGCAACCCTTTATGACCTACACCATTAAATATGAGTTAAAATATATGTTATAGACCCATTTTGCCATATCTATTTTGGGATTTTTCGTGGTAT